TCACCATCCTTCATTTGGGTTGTTATCATGGAAGAGATGATTTCATACCTCTCTTGACGAGCACTCTGATGGTATCTATCCATCAGGTCCATGTGCATCTCAAAAGGGTAAAAGTCTTCATAGGACTTTTGGAGTTCATCTGTCATTGTGGCCAACATGATACATGCCACCTTGGAGGCATCTCTCTTATGAGTCCTAAAGTCAACGATCTCATGAGGAGTAGCAGAAGACTCATCAATTTCCTTCAGCTCCTTGTCGAGGATATATTCCTTGTCCTTGTAACGTGTGACCATCGTGATGTTCCTGATCTAATCATTAAAGTTTGAACCATAAAAGATGACTCTCCCACAAAGATTCATGAGAGAGACGGGGCCGGTAGGGTTTGAGCCAGAAGCATTGTTGGAAGACATCTGAAAAGAAGAAAGACAAGTTTATATTAGATAAAGAGTCCTTAATAAGACACCCAAATGTAATATTAAGGCCAGGACCCAACACAATATTTTATAACTTGGAAGAGGGATGCCGTAATCCAAGCTACAAAATATTTGAAGGTAGGTGAATGATGATTCACCAATTTCTACCATGAAAAACGAAATAAATTATTAAGTTTTAATGAATTGAAATTCCTAGATTCTTTTGAGATTCATTGAACTTTTCAATGGCATGTTTAAATCTCAATTGTGACCTTCAAGTTTGTGACTGGGATGCCGAGGATCACAAAACAAGGTGTGAATAACCATGCAAATTAACTTGGTACACTTATTTTTATCACCTAATCGATGTGCCGGTTAACCACACGTGCTCCACCAATCTATGATAAACATTAAGCTACCCTTTACCACTGTTACTAGTCCATGTTAGTGTGTCGGTTAACCACACACGCTCCACTAACGACTTGGTAAGGTACAAAGTGTAATTTCATGGGTTAGCACCAAATTTACATTTTTCCTAAGTAACTAAGATTGAGAATTTATAAAAGGTTTAGTTACTTTATATTTATCATTATACTTTTAATGAAAATTATAGTCCTTGTCCTACCCGTTCGGCTAACGACCCTCCACCAATCAAGGACGCGGTGGGTAAGAGTCGACACCCATTAAACTGCCATTTTATAGGCAACAACCTTATACCCCCCTTTATAGACCAGCTTCGTGAATGAGGCCTACTAACGGTAAGACTGACTTGATCTTATATATATATATATATATATATATATATATATTATTACCTTATAATATTATAAAGTATAAGGGTTGAATTTTAAACTTTTAAAACTCTGGGGATTGGAATTAAAGTACTAGTGTGTGAGACTTTACAAATTCCAAAACTTGAGGGCTAGTTTTGAAACTCTTCAAAACTTTTCAACTCCATAACTTATGAGTTTAATGGCCATTAAAATGAAGAATCTTCATTTCTATAACCTATGAGTTTTTTAATGGTTCTTTTAAAGAAAAACTTTTGGTAATCCATAACTTGAGGACAAGTTATGGAGTCCATTAAAACATATTCATCATGGATTCAATTAATCAAATAAGCATGCATGATCATATTCAAACTCATAGAAACAAGATAATTCATATCATCAATATTCAAGACATTAGCATAAACATATTAATACAATTCTTGAAATTATGACAATCACCTTGTAATTAGATTGGGATAATCATTACCTCTAGCACCTTGAGGTTACTAGGGCTTTGGGAGGGTTTTGGGAGGCTTAAAGAGAAGTTAGAGAGAGGAGTGAAAGGGGTTTGGTGTGAAAAATAAAGGCACTCTCGCATGGTATTTATAGGATGGAATTAGGTCAAACTCGTCAAGTTTTGGCCTCCAACTCGTCGAGTTGGTGCCACATGTCACCATCTGGTGTCAAGGCGTGGGGAGAAAACAATGGCTCAGATCGCGCCATGTTACCTACTTCGCAACAGCACCCTTCCGACTTCTAAATCCCGCCACTTTCGCATATGAGCTCCGTTTTCGACGTTCTTTATATCCACGCGTAGGTATTAACAAGATCTAAAACTCTTATTTTGACTCCGTCGGCTAATTCTTGACCGATTTTAAATTTAATAGTATGAGAAGATTACACTATTAACGACCGTGTAAAATTCATAACTTTTACATACGGACTCCGTTTTCGACTGTCTTTTTATCGTTGAACTCTTTTTAATGAGATATTCAATTCTCATTTAGGTTGTGTCGGCTAAAAATCGATCGATCTAGAATTCGAATTTCGGGTTGTGTACTGCTATGCTAAATCTTAGAAAAATCATAACTTCCTAATACGAAGTCAGATTTGGACGTTCTTTTTATGCACGCTCTCGGTTTAACGTATACTATGACTTTCTTTTAGATCGCTAAGGCTAAAAAGTAATTTATGAAAAATTATCTTTTTACGTTACGCAGTGTCGTGCCGGTTTAGCCATAAAACTTCGACGGGTCATAACTTCTTCGTTATAACTCGGATTTCGGCGTTCTTTATATGTACGGAACCCTTGTGACATATACTATAACTTAGTTAAGATTATCCTTCTAAATAATCTTCTATCAAAAAGTCAGTTTTTGACGCTTATTGTCTCTAAATTGACTAGCCCGAATATACATGCGTTACATCACCGTAATCTATTAAAAATTCCACAAGCACATGGTAGGCATACGGAAGCATAAAACTAAAAGCACAAGAAATTACCCAAAAAGAATGTATAGTTAAAGAGCGGTAGTGAGAGGGAAATGGTACAATTTCTTTGTGATCTAGGTAGGCATATCAATGCAGAAAACTAAAAATATACGAAAATTACTCCTTGCTCCACTTCTGTGAATTTTGGTATTTTGCTCTACTTCCACCTGCGATGTTGAATCTTGGAGAAGCAAAATCATCAAGGCTAAACTGGTCTGCCTATATTTATAGGCAAAATCATTGCTACCAGGGGTATTGTGGAGATCATGGGAGTCTAGGGGGGGTTGTGGAACCCTGGGTTATGCTAGCGGGAACGGTTCCCGAGAAGTTAAGACTGTGGGGGAGAAGAAGAAAGAGGGTTGGTGTGTGCTAGGTTTTCTGCAACCTCCATGAAGATGCGGGAAAGAAGAGAACTCGACATTGATAATAACTGTAAACAATAGAGTCGTTATTGAAGGGGGTTTAAACACAAGATCCGTGATGCGTGAAAAAGGAGGAACGTGGGTGTTATGAAGAACGTGAGGAGAAGGAGGAGGAGTGGGATGTCTAGGTCGAGAAACCAATGATAAGAACCGCCGTAGTAACTGTAAATACCGAGTTATTACGACCATGATTGCATCTGAGGAAAATCGGAGGTCTGAAAATGAGGGAGCGGTTAATAATATTAGTAATTTGAAGGATTTTCTTCTAGACAATCTTGAGCATTGCATGCAACTCCGAGATGGATTTCTTCCGGTCGTTCATATTATAGTTCATGATGAAGTAGTCATATGACTTTCACAATCTCTTCAGAATTAGCATGCATGCCAACTCTATGCAAAACACCCTCTGTTCTATCCGTACTCCCTTTTGAATCAAATTTGGGTAATCTTTGACAGGTCCTAGAATGATATATCATATGAAAGTCAAATTAAAAGAAAAATAAATCCTTTTTCTCGATAAGGAAACATGCAGAACGCTCTACATGATATCTCACTTCTTTGATAAATTGTTACTAGAGGTGAAAATGCAAAACTCAAATAACAAAAGTTTACACAAAAGTACAAAACTAGCCCCATGTAAAGTCTTCTTAAATGGATTATGTTTGGATGCAAACTCAATTCCACATCGGTGTAAAAAAAAAAAAAAAAAAAAAAACTATTTGATAGCATACAAGACAATGGGTAATCATTTCTATCACTAATTGGTTTTAAAAAATGAAACCTCATAATTCTTTTATATTGAGTATGGTTGGGCTAGTAACGATCCTAAGAGATTACTAGTTCTTCCATTCACAATCAATGGTAACTCTATCTTCCTCTCTTGTAGTTTCCATGTGACGCTTCATCCAACATATAATTTAGTAAAACAATTTTAATATTCATAAAATCTTCTATTTAACAACAAAGAAAAAACATTTGGATCAAAATCAAATTAATCAATTTCAAGCATTAAAATTACGGACTTACTAAAAATCTTTTTGTTTTTTATTGGGAAATTACATGTGGAAAGAAAATATCAATTTAATTTCAACTTTAGATAACCTATTTAAGAACGTGTTATATATTTCACGTCTAATTTGATTTTACCTATGTCTTATATGAGACTAGAACCATCGACCTCAAAAAGGAAATACAATACTTGATACAATTTGGCTAAAAACCCTTTGGTATTTATAATCAAAGAAGAACAAATTATCAAATAATGACTTCCAATAAATCAATTTATTACAACCGGTTATTTTATAACCAGGCCTTTTTTTATTTAGTGTAAATTTATATATTAAGTTCTAAACACAATTTCTGATTGTATTCCTTAACTTAAGTTGCCTAAGAATATATAACTTTTATGTATATTTTCGTGTTCTAAACAACCCAAAATTTGTGTATAGTACTTTTAATTTTCTTAAATGAAGAATAGAGGAGCTGAACCCAATTAAGGTATTTCACATAAGGCCCACGAAGTAATTGGGTTTGAACCCACTTGGCAGTTGGCATGGTTTGTTCCATGCGTGAATATTAATTGTTGAAAAAAGAAAAGAAAATGGAACACAAACTTTTTCGCGTTACTTTGTTACATTAACAATTAATTTAACTTACATGAACTAAACATATTTTATATAATTGACATATTTTATTGATAGGGCCATACGATAGTAAGAAGTTAACAAGATAACATGATATATATGTATAAAACAATTGTACTCAAGTTTTAACATTCAAGAAAACTCTCACATTCACAATAAAAGGACACACTTATGTCAACCAAAATACAAAAGGAAATGACTTTAAATCCAAATCAGATGCACACGATGTGAGAAGAGCTTGGCAATTATATGATACTATGCTTACCAACATTCGTAGAACTTTATATCAACACGAAGCCTAAAATAAACTTCACCTTCAAAAGCATCGGTCATAATAGTCGCTACCCCCCTATGCATAAAGAAGTCACCAGTCCCACCAACCACTGATATATCCCTAGTCTTAATCATAATCGGATCAGCCCCAATAAACTGAATGCTTCCCTGATAATCCGTAGTATTAAGCACAAACGAAAATGCTAGCCATGCAGTGAAGGTGTTCTTGGTGTCATAAATGTATTGACCTTGAGCTCGACCAATAGAAGGGGAATGAAAGTTGTTGTCTAAAGTAATGGGGTCATCAAAAACCACGATATTTCCAAAATGAAACTCATTAGCCAAGATCGTCCGGTTTGCCCATTGAGGTGCACCCACAATAGCTGATGTTGCATTCGCTGCATTTTGCCCATTATACACAACATCATGGAAGAACAAGACTAGGTTCTTGCATGGTTTGTAATGTTTCTTGTTTTTGTATTTGTGGGATGAAGAAACCGTAAGAAACATGAACAAAAGAAGTATAATCGGGGTTCTTTTTGGAACCATTTTGTTTCAAATGGGAAGAGTACGTAGGAATGGGTTCAGATGATGATCAGTTATAGTGTTAGATGATTGAGTAAAGCTGTGAACTTTCTTGAAGACGCTCTTTCTCTATATATAGGACATTAAAAAAGATTCTGTCTTTTCATTGAAACTTGGAGTGCACATTGAAAAAAAAATACATATAAGCAAATAACTAAAGAAGCTAATCAGTGTAAGTTTCCAGTGGTATATTGCTTGGACTTATTGAAAGGGAAAATCAATTTGTTAAGTTGCATGTTACTTCTAATTATTTTGATGGCAAAACAATGATAGGATGTGTCCTTTTCTATAAAAGCATCTTACCAAGAGCCTGTTATATGCAACAAAGCTGTGCAAAGGCATTCTTTAAAAACACTCTCAGAGCAATTTATTAAATTATAGAGTATTTAGTAGCAATAAAATTATAAACTAAACAAAGAATCATAAAAGATGTAGTACAAAGAAGGTAATTAATTAACCGAGGTTTTACAAATTGAAAAAGAATTAGGGGGTGTTTGGGATTGTTTATTTAAGCTCCTTATTTGCTTATACATTTGGCACCAGTAATAACTAATAAGTAAATTTATGTGTTTGGATAAGTACAAATTATAAGCACTTGATCAAATAAGGAGTTTTTAATAAATTGGTTTCTACTTCGAAACTCCTTATTAAGATATAATTCCCAATTACTTATTTACCCTTATTTTACCTAAATATTCCTTGTACATCGATGACTTTTCCTTTTATTTTTCGTGACTTTCTTCCTTCACGAACATCACATGCACGGTTCCCTTCCTTTTTTTCAAATTCATGCTTAGTAATTCTCACCTTGTTGTGCTATTGTAATGTAAAAATTAATATTATATTGATTCTTCGTTATTGGTTAAATTATTGATTGGTTAGTATTATGATATGTTGATTCTTCTCATGTAATATACATGCATTCCTCTTACAGTGAGCTATCAAACCACCCGCATCTCAAAACATTGATTACATATAAACCTTTTTAATAAAATCATAAAACCTTTAACCCATTAACAATTAAATACCATCTAATTTAATAATTTATATAGAGCGTGGAGTATATGTTTTAGTTTACTTGAAAATTGAGCGTTTCTAAAAAATTCATAGAATAGTTGTTCTTTAAAAATCAATTAATATATCAACAACAATCAGCAAATCAAACTGTAATTTTACACATACAATTAGTTGACCATAGTCTAAAGGAATGCCGGAGAATGGGAGGAGTAAAATACATTGTAAATTTGTAATGTGTTATACTAAAGATTTCTTATAATGAATTATTTCCCTCTTCCCAATCCTTTTACCAATAAATCTGCATTTAAAATATATAAAGTAATGATTACAGAAAATCCAAAATAATTAACATATACATCCAATTGTCATGTAAAACAAAAACTAAGGCATCTTTAAAACAAGTCCAAACCTGACCAACCCGTTGGTTGGTCAGGTAAATCCAAATTTCATAATTATTTCAAGAATATAAAAGTAAAATCTATTTTCAGCATCACAAGGTTAATTTGGTGTGGGTTAGAAAAAAAATTTATTCTATTTTGTGCAAATTATTTAAAATATTTGCAGAAATATAATAACGTAAAATGGAAGTGATAAAAACACCCATCGTTTGAAAACTCAAATACTAAAATTTTTATTGAATTATGGACGTCTTTAAAATAACATTTGGTACATGGGACTACACAAAATTGGAAATAACAAGAAATTTTAAGAGGCATTTGGCATGAACAAGACAATACCACTCACTCTCACGCCCCCTTTAAATTTTCCATCACTACCGTGTTTGTTTTTTTGGGGCAAAATGTTTACAGTCTGTGGACCACATCTGTAGACATCTGTAGTGGAAGAGGTGGACAAAACGTCTGCAGTTTGAAAAAAAAAGACTGTTTGTTTTTTTTAACATCTACAGACTACTAAAATAAACTAAATTTAGATAAACTGATTTTTTTAACTTCAAAGTGATTTTTTAATATTTTTATAACTTTGTTATAAATAATTAACAAATCTAGATCAACTTTTATGTATTATTGTATAAAAAAGTGAAAATAAAATGGTACGAATTAACGTATATATTTGATAAAAACCAACAACTTTGGTCGCAAAGTTATACCTAAACATTGTAATTAGAAATCAAAGAATTTGAGACATAAATTGATAGAAATAAACTTCGATTTTTTCATTTAAATCAATTAAAAACGTATTATAAATATTTTCTCAATAAATTGACGATACTATATTAAATAATGTTTTATAAAATTTGGCACACAAAATATAAGAATATATTATGATTTTTTTTTCATATTTATATAAACAATTTCAACGATCATTATTGTAATAAATCTTTATTTATAAATTTGTCAAAAATGTTATGTTTGTGTCGTTGAACCTTTTTTTTAAAGTACTGTAACTTTTTTTTTTCAAATTATTTATCATTAATAAAGTTGGAAAAAATATAAATTAAAAAAAAAACTAAAAAAATAAAGATATACGTGTTTTTTTAGGCTAGAAGATGTTTTAAGATGTTAGAAGGCTCTAGTCCACATCTACGCCAAGAAGAGGGCGCGCAGACATATTTAGGTCTGCAGTCATCAAAAAAACAAACAATCTGCGAAGTCTAGTGTCTGCGCGTGGTCTACGCGGCGCAGACAGAAGAGGCTAAGAAGACCTGCAAACAAAAAACAAACAATACCTACATATTCGCCTTCCCCAGTAACACTCTCAGTACCTTCCCCTTTCCATAGTGAGTATAAGTTACTGATGCCACCATCGATAGACCTCCTTCACCTGTCGACATCACCGATGCACTCTTGAATCTTTCTCATCTACCTCTTACGTAGGTGTTTTCAACCTCGTGCTAAAGATAAGAATAAAAAAAACCGATATGACCAAACATATCCCTTTCAAAATCCCGCTCCTACATATGTCTCTAACATACTTGTTTTTTGTTATTTAATGGTTTTTTTTAGTTTTTTTTGGAATGGTAATTTAGTTCGCGTTTTAATTATTAATTTTTTGAATCATAAGATATTAAAAATTATAAATTTCTGAATTATGATATTTTTATTATAATACTTAATGACCATAAACATTTTGAATCATGACGTTACTCAATGAAAAACAAATGAAAATATGATGCAATAATAAACAAAAAATTAAAGTAAAAATATTTTTAACAACTTTTCTTATTATTATAAGGTCATCAAGTATGGAAGATATGGAAACCATGCGATGAAGCATAGTTTTACTCCACATAACCGTCATCTCCTTCCACACTAGCAAATGGTGTACCTGTAAAGATTCCGTACTCAAGAAGAAAATAGAGGAGCAGGAGAGAGATATCCAATGATATATATATATATATATATATATCTATATATATATATATATATATATATATATATATATATATATATATATATATATACAGAGAGAGAGAGAGAGAGAAATAGATAGAGAGAGAGGAAGAGAAATAGAGAGAGAGCAAAAAGGAGATTGTCATTGGTTTGTTACCTCTCGGTGTGATATCCCCTATTTTTCAGAACCAACAAAAATTTCTTTACGTTTTAAATATCATAATATCTTGGTTTGCGGAAAATTCCAGTATATTAAAACATTTTAAGTACAAATGACTGTCTCAACCTAAGGATGTCGTAATCAATACAATACATAAGTTACAACGTAAAGACCTAATGATCTTTAATACTATTGCAAGTCTTCTCTTCAATCACTCAGTATCTGTAACATCCATAAAAATCATGTCAAATTTAATCTTTTTAAAACATTTCAAAACCAATTATTATTACAAAATTTGTTTTCAAAATAGTTCAATGTCAGAGTTTCCCAGAATCAAATCATAAAAACATAAGAAGGTGCATGATCACGCATTCGCCTTCCCGCGATCATCAGAAGTACTTGAAATAATAACTGATAAATGTAAGCTCGAAGGCTTAGTGAGTTACCCCCAAAATACCGACGCCATACGATCATAATCATATCATATAAACAAACACATCATGCATAATGAGCCATCAGTCTGACTGGACCGCCCGCACCGAGCCGTCAGTCTATCTGGACCGCTCTCCGTGCCTTCGGCACGTCTGGACCGCCTCTCAGGGCCTTCAGCCTATCCGGACCGCTCGCCGGGCCTTCGGCCTGACTATATACCCTCCCGGGTCTGCAGTCTATCTGGTCCGCCCTGGGTATCTTGGCCTACAGAACAAAGCAGGACCTGCCTCAACCCAAACCCCCAAACCAACAAACATGTGCACATAAATATCATACGCTAGCATGCAAGTACAGATAGTCATACAGATCTAACATATCACTAACATGGCAACCATCCTATAACCAGGATATCGATCTAACCGATCAATAACATAGCAACCATCCTATAACCAGGATACCGATCTAACAGATCTCTAACATAGCAACCATCCTATAAACCAGGATACCGACCTACCAGGTCACTAAGCATATCACCATCCTAACTACCAGGATGTAAATCAATAAGCATATCATGCAATAAACCCGGATACAAATCCGATAAGGGCCGGCAGTGGTTCCTTAGACCCTGTTGATATAGTGAGGAGAACTCACCTCACAAGTAGCTCGAAGTGATAAAGTCAAACTCCACCAAATGCAGCTCCAAGTCCAACATCTACATCCACCGATGATCCTCTTCCATAAATTCCCAAATTACCAAAATACCCCCAGAAGTCAAACTGGTCAACCCTTGGTCAAAGTCAAAGTCAATGGTCAAAGTTAACAGTCCATGTTGACCCAACTCGTCGAGTGCAGCTAGTAACTCGTCGAGTTCCTTAAGAACTCAGAAAATCATAAAACCCTAACTGACTCGTCGAGTTTCTAATCAACTCGTCGAGTCCATGCGTGTCCAAAATTCGGGGATAATCCTTACTGACTCGTCGAGTCCTCTTACTGACTCGCCGAGT